TCTGAAACTCTCTCCCATCCCAGTAGGGTCTATTACCACGGTCAAGGTTGATTTAAAAACTGTAAAGCAGCTTAGGAGGGGGCAGGGAGGGTGGAGTGGGGTGGGATGGAAACAAAAATAGGAAGGGGGAAGAGGCTGTGTGCTCTAGTAGAAAGAACGCAGTCTTTGCCAGTTTAGTTTTCAAATCATAGCTCCGCTGCTTCTGCCACGTGGCCTTGCATGGGGCACTGCACTGCTCGGAGCCTCTGTTTCTTGCTCTGTAAAACAGAAGTGATTCTACCACTAGCGTTGGTGTGGAGGTGATGAGAGTGGGGATGATGATTCCAGCATGGTGGCGCCTGTTGTTAGGAGCCTTCGAGTCAGTTCCGACTCATGGTGACCCCATGTGACAGGACCCCCCCACAGAGTTTTCTAAGCTGTAATCTCTCCAGAAACAGATCCACAGGTCTTTCCTCCCACAAAGCCTGGGTGGGTTTGAACCACCAGCCTTTTGGTTAGCAGCCGAGCGCTTAAACATTGCACCACCAGGGCTCTTTGCCTGGCACATAGTAGCCCCAAGAGATGAGCGCTTCTGTGGATTAGGGCAGATCTATTTCAGAAATGTGCTGCCTTTCACTCAGTATGAGGTGATGAGAGAGACTGCAAACTCATTTAAAGATGGTCCTTGAGCCTTGACTACACAGCAGTCATTAAGCAGACATTTTACAGTGGACTGCTTCTGCCGAGGTGTGGCATGGGGGTGGGACCTTTTGGATATTATCCCTGTTATAACAGGGGGCACCATTTGGCCATTCCATGAGAATTCACTCTTGTAAACCTCTCAACAGCTTTTCCCTTCTATTACCAAACCCAAACTCACTGCCATTGAGTAGGTTCCAACTCATAGCGATCCCTATTGGGTTTCCAGTCTTTATAGAAGAAGACTAATCCATCTTCATTCCACAGAGCGGCTGATGGGTTCGAGCCACTGACCTTTTGTTTAGCAGCTGAATGTCTTAACCACTATAGCACCAGATTTCCTTTCCCTTCTCTTTGGAGGCTATTATAAATACCAAAGGGGCTCTGGTGGCACAGTGGTTAAAGCATTTGGCTGCTAACCAAAAGGTTGGCAGTTCCAACCCACCAGCCACTTCATGGGAGGAAGATGAGGTAATCTGCTTCTGTAAAGATTTACAGCCTTGGAAACCCAGTGGGGCAGTTCTACTATGTCCTGTGGTGTCGCTATGAGTCAGAATAGACTCACCGGCAGTGGGTTTATAAATACCAAGTATCAGCACTTGAGCTTGGTTCTGAGGCTGATGCTCTCACCCCTGCTGTCACGGTCAGACCTCATTATTTTTTATTATAGTTCTGAAACAACTGGTTTTAGCTCTTGAGGCATTATGATGACAAAGGGAGGAATGAAACTGGGGAGTCCTATTTCTCCCACCCACCAGCGCTTTTCACCCACACTCCTTTCCTAGCAACGGCTCTTTTCTCAACCCTTGGGGCCCACGTCTCCTGTTCCACCTACAGCAGAAGTAGCACAATATGAGGGTGAGAGGGCTGGGAGGTTGCTGAGGTGCAGGAGGGGAATGGGGCAAGAGCGTCAGGGAGGAGGCTGATGAAGAAAAGGAAGCCACAGGGACTAGCCTGCTTGGTGGCGAGGCTGCCGAGAAGCGAAGAACCGAAGCAGAGAAGGCCCAGGTTAGAAGGGCAGGCGGAGAAGTGGTATGGAGCTGGGTGCACCCACAACAGTGCAGGTGGGGAAAGGTTTATCAGCCAAGGGAAGCTAAGTGTAGCTCATAGCGAGCATCACTACTTACACAGGGCACAGTTCTCTGCTGGGGCAGCCTGAAACCTTGTAAAAAAAAAAAAACACGGATGCTTCTCCAGTCCTTGAATCTTAGAACCTTGAATCTTTTCCACTTGAAGGTGGAAAGGGGCACGTTTCTCATCTTGGCAGACCAGAATCCTCTGGGGACATTGAAAAAAACTACTGATGCCCAGGTTATATTCCAGGTCACGTCTTCACTGCAGGTGGGACCTGGACATCAGTATTTGTAAAAAGTTGAGTGGGTAATTTTAAATGGTAGGCAGCCTTGAGACTCACTGAAGTCCAGTCCTAAGGGAAGCAGGAACGCTACTTCTACAGAATTTTGGGTGGAGCCAGGACTTGACCTCTATTCTCACTTGAAAGCCAATAAGTTTATCCATTTTTTGTTTTTTTAAAAAAGCTTCAGGTGATGAATTTACATACTTTCATTCTTGTCTAAGTAGAAATTCTATGCCTCCCCCACACTAAATTTCAGAGAGCCCCCACCCCCCAGCTTCAGGAAACCAACAGCTGCCCCTCCTGCGTGGCATCCCTATGTAATAAAGAGAGTATTTATACCATCCCCTTCCCAGGATTCCGTTTTCAAAAAATCTTACAAGTCTGCCTTTAAGAGGTGAAGGAAGGTAAGACAAAGAGCCTGTCTATCTTTGACTGTCTGTCCTTCTCCAAATTCACTTCAGACGTTTTGACTGAACTCACTTTAAAGGGAATACTCAGAACAGTTCTGAATGGCCAGGAGAATTGCAGAAGATCACTGTCTGGATTCCTGTGAGGGAGGGAGGGGTCAGGTCCGAGGAAGGGGGAGGAGCTTTGGTGATGGTGGTGCAGGTCCATAGACTGAGGCCATGGGCTTGAACCTCAGTCTTTTTTAGCACCAGCTGGTGGAGCCGTCGCCTTCTCTCTTGCCTTCCTGAATCACTGCCCAGCTGCCAGTCCACTCTTTGTTTTCCCTGAGTTGTCCACCCCCCTCACCCAGATCTGCCAGCCTTGGTCCATCAGCACACAGACTATAATTTGGAATGTCACAATGTCATAGTCATAGAGCATGCCCGCTTGAGGTCCGAAGCAGGGAGGTAACCCCTTCAAGGTCACACAGTGGTGAAGCCAAGGCTGCCCTTGCAGTGATCTTTCCACGGTCCCTCTCTGCGCCCACTGTGCTTGGGCTTTCTCAGTGGAAAACTGTTTTGATTGGTCTGTGCCTGGCTTGCAGTCTCAGAGGGGGCCCCAGTTCCCTTTCTCCCTGGACCTGGGGTATACTCCGGGCCTGACAAAGGACACAGCAGGGTGGACGCTGAAGACGCCACAGGCCTGCGACGTGGGTGAGCCATCCTGGCTGCTGTTGGCGACTTCAGCCAATTTCAAGCTGGCAGAGGCCTTTTCAGAAAGAGCCCTAACAGGGGAGGTGTCCCTTTATTGCCAAGACTTCTCTGTTCTTCCTCTGACAAGTGACTGGCCCCACTCCCAGCTGCCAACCTTGCCCAGTCCCATTCTGGTGACCTGCTAGGAACCATTAGAGAGAGAGAAGGTATATTCAAGTCATACACTCACAGCAGCTGTTGCCTTTTGCCAGTCAGATCCTTCCCAGTTCTGAAGTGGAAAGTTTTAGAAGAACTGGGAACAGAGGTCGTCCTCAACTCCCAGGAGACAGGTACCCTGTGCTCTGGAGAGAGGGCCAGTGAGCACTGCTTTCTTTTCTGCACTGCGATGACCCTCAGTTTCTGGTTGTGCTGTGAGGAGGAGGGACGCATTTTCTCCCTTGCAAAGTTCCTGGAGCAACCTCTCTATTCTCTGGGAATTAGGCCCTTGTTGATTATGCCTAAAGATTTGTGCATTTAATGAACTGGTGGCTGTTACTTACGGGTGTGGTTCCTCATATGCTGCTGCTACCTGGCTAGAGGATTTGGTGATTACTTGATTCTTTGTGTTTAGTGAGTCAAAAATCACACTTTCCACACTCTTTCATTTATGGAGCATTAGCTTTGAATTGAAAGAGGGTGACCCATCTGGTCATCCTTAGGTTTGTTTTATACAGTGCCTTTTCCTCTCATGTAAAGCCGACTAATGGATCATGGCCAAAAAATCAAACCAGTTTATACCTTCAGAGAGTGAAATCCAACAGTCTACCTTTTTTTTTTGTCAAACAACATAGCTAAATATTTTTAAGAGCTGCTCTGTAAGGAATCTGCCGGCCAAAAGGTTGGGGGTTCATACCCATCCAGAGGCACCTTGGAAGGCCTGGTGATCTGCTTCGAAAAGGTCACACCTTGAAAACCCTGTGGAGTGTTCTACTGGGCACACATGGGGTCACGGTGAGTCCGAATCAACTTGACAGCAAGCACTACCACCAATAACGCATGTAACGTACGTGCGATTTTAATCTTAGCGTCGTTTTCAGGTATAAATATGTTATGTAATAGCAGGAGCTTGACTTTAGAAATAAATCTTTCAAAATGCAAATTGAGTTGTCAAATTCTCATGCCTTTTAGTTAAAATAGTCATTGTGCCATTTCTGGAAATCTATAGTTCTAAATCTCTCATCGATCCTAGACTCAAAGTTTGGGCGAAAACACTTAATCATTTTGCTTCTACATCCTCACGCCTCTCAGCCCCAGAATCAAAACACAGTGCTGGAGGAGAATTTGTTAATGTTACTAAGTATTCGGTAACATTGCTATTCTGTTCCATAAGTTTATTAGCACTTAAAACACCGAACTTGAAATATCTTTACACCCAGTGATCATTCAAGCACAGTGAACTAAGTACCAGGGGACTTCTTAATGATGTTGGTGTAGAAGAGATTAATATTCCCTGTAAGAGCCGGGTTTTTGTTTTGTTTTTTGTTTTGTTTTTCCTGTAAGAGCCAAAAGCTTCCTGCCTTTTGCTGACACTAACTATGGTACAGACTTAGGGCAAATCCATGTATGTGATAGAACTGATCCCCTACAAAGCTCAGTCAAGTATAGATATTATACATCATCCTCATTCAAGGGCTGGATGTGTAGTTTATGCAAATTTTAACAATTGTTTTATGGTGACATGATGGGGAACCAGATAAACACGACCCAACAAGACCACTTACTTTTGTTTCGCCTAGTTACCTCCCAAGTATTCAGGATGTTATTTACATCACACACACACACAGAGGCCATGTCAAATGCAAAACAAAAATGAAGAAAGCAGGTCATTTCAATACCTTTTTATTTGAGTGTGAAACCATTCATATCTTGCACAACTGTACAGATAAAACTATTTCCATTTTAGCTGTAGACATGATTATCACACTGAGTGGTGCGATCAAAGATTTTATTTACAGAACAATCGCTAAAACATCCGATGACATATTTCCATTTATTTCTTACCCATAGGGTAATAAGTCCACCATAATTGTCTGGTGCATTTTATACAGAAAGAAAACCTATGTTAATCTCTAACAAACCTCACAAATTGCTACAAATCTGACAGAAAAATGCCTACGAAAAAATTTTCCAAAAGTACAATACATTTTTATTTCCACACATACACAGTATAGTATAGGCTCAAAGGCACAGCTTTGATTTTTTTTTTTTTCTATCAAAGTGTCGGAAATTATTATAGCCTTATGAAGGGACCGTGAAAGTCTTTTTCACACTTGGTGCTTGACAAGTTAAAGTTTGGTCCATTCAGTTTCACAAAGTTAATATAACAAAGCTGAGTGTGATGCTTAATGCCATATATCCACATTCTCACAGAACTTCAGAAACCCCTCTCCTGCCTTTTGCTGACACTAGCCATTGTGCAAACTTAGGAAAAATGCATGTAGGGAGAGGAACGGTCCCCTCTAAACCTCAATCAACTTAAGGCAATACAGAACAGGCCTCTTCCTTCTCTCGAGACAGTGCTTACAATAGAAGACAATGCAGGTACTGTGACAGACGCGAGTGGAACAGGGGATCTGGCACTTCCCAACATCTCCATTTATCCCTGCTGTTCCAGGAAGCACTGATGATACCACCAGGGAGAAGGGAGGCATTGAACATGTCTGAAGGTTGTTCATTGTACAGTAAGGTGACAGACAGATGGCAAGGTGAATGTTCTTGGTAAATTATGTGCCCATCCAAGAACACAAACCAGATTCTGTCTCCATTATCCATCCTTCAAGACTAAAAAGCCTTTGTCAACAGGAAAATAAGTAGCTTACTGGCAGGGGTTGCCAACACAAAGCAAAGTCATGGAACAGAGGGAAAAGACACAGAGTGGCCTGCCCAAGATAGTGCTCTGTAGAAACAGGCAAGTCTGGCTTGGCTGATGGAACCCAATCACTTGACTTTTAGTGAGCCCTGTTTCTGAACTAAAGTCTATTTGTCCCACATTGAATCCCAGCTTCATGTTCGTTCACTTAGGAAAACAGACACCTAGGAATAGTCCATGAGTTACAATGTGTAGAGATAAAAGTCTTCTGGGGGTGGGTGTTGGGTTTATTATCATTAATAATAATAATTATTAATATTAAATATGGATTCCTATGATAGCAGTCACTTGGCCCATCCTGTGGAGGCCTCTCCGTTGATGTAAGCAAAGCCAGGAAAGTGTTGCATGTGCTCGTATTCAGAATTCCTGCGCGTGGTCAGGGGTGTGTACATGTCACTAGAGTTTCCGTACCTCGTCGAATGCACAGACGGGCTTGTGTAGCACGTGTTGGCTGTGGGCACCTCTGGCCATCGGGGAGTGACTGGGGTAGGATGCAGTCTGGGAGTACTGCTCATCAAACAAGGTTCCATCCGGGAAGTGGGGCTATTGAAAGGGTACTTGTTGAGGGGAAAGAAAGTCCACAAAGTTAACATTAGCTTGATCTTGCAGATACACAATATCAGGCATGTTAGGCAGTCATGTCTTAAGATGCTATTAATGAGAGCTAATGGGAGGAAATCAGTGAACTTCTGCAAGACTGGACCTTGAGCTAGGGAAGTAATTGACAGCAGAAATATGAAGGCTTTCTGAGCCCTGGTTGAGCTCGTGCTCACTCAAGGAGCAGTACTGGCTTTGTGCCCGTAATCTGAGATGTCTTGGGAAGTCAAACCCAAAAGAAGGACTAGCCCCACTGGGAATACAGGAGAATGAGAGTGTGTGTATGTGTGTGTGTGTGTGTGTGTATGCACATGCATGGTGCAAGCACGTCCAGATGGCTATGGATGGGTGGCCATGAGTCTTATAGTTTAGTTATGGTGATGTGATAGGTTCTACTCCATCAACCCAAGGGAATAATACTGCCAAATAAAACGCAATGGCGTTATTAAAAATAGCATTTTACAGTTGAATTCAATTATGAACTGCAGCCTAAAAGCAGGCTTTTGAAGAGGAAGCAAGTCAACAGACTCGAAGATTATTATTAGTGCCTGTCATTTAGAGAATGTCTTTCTTTTTAGTTCACGTTCACTGAAGTCCTGGAAGATATGTAAGGAGGAAATGGTAACTTACTGGGCTTGATGTGAATGTGGGGAAAGGAGTCAAGATAAGCCAGTTGAGAGCAGGAGAGAGGGGCTCTTTTGTACAGGTAGAGGAGCAGGTGTTAATACCCCAAGAAGAGGGGAAGCAGTTCCAGAGAGGATTAGAATATGAGAAGCGCTGCTTCTTTGACATTCTTTTCCGTAACCAAGACAGCTATGCAAATCAGCCCCTTTGAGTACAATCCCAGGAAAGGAAGAAGAGCTGTGGACCTCCTTTGAGACTTCCAAGTTTGCAGGCCAGTCAACACAAAGATGTTCTTGCAGTTCTAAGGGCCACCCCACCAATGACGGGAGCCAGTCAACAACGCCAGGCAGAGATCAGTGAAGAGAGTGTGTGTGAGTGTGTGAATTCTGCTCCCCATCTGTCTTCCCTGACAGTTGGATAGTGGAGCCCTGAGGGATTAGGTGGGAGGGTGCCTCCTGTGAGGGAGACAGACAGGCTGAAGCCTAGACAGCGGGGAGAGGGGCAGCGACAACAATGCGTGCTCCCTGTGGTCCAGGTGGCCAAGGGGAACTGCTCTGCATCTTTGAGCGGGAGCCCAAGGGGCACAGAGGAAGGCTGTCAGGCCTGAGGCATGCCAGGAAAGTTAGCTAATCATAGGTCAGCAAAGAGGGACCCCAGCTCTAGCAGTGAGGGTTGTTTTTTCCTAGGTAGGACAGCAGGCCTTAGATAGCAAAGTACAGCCACTTCAAAGTCAAAAGAACAGTCAGGAAGGAGGGAGAAGGGTGTAGGTGGTATCTGGGAATTCAAGAGAGAAAGCACCAAGGGCTGTTGCCAAGGAGACTACGGACGAGCACACTGAGGCTTTCATAATCCCTAAATCAGCTCAGAAACCCTTACGTGCATCCCATGTGCTGTGCACTATGGAAGCTACAGGGTGCTGTTTATGGGACAGCTGTGGCAGCCCCTCAGTCCTGAGTTACGGGATTCCAGCCCAGGACCTGCTCGAAATTGCAAGGAAACTGTGGTAGGATTGGCTCCTGCCCAAGAAAAAAGATCCCAGAAGCAATAAACAGATTGCATTAATAGTGATTATTACAAGATGTCCCTTAATTCCCTGAAGTTGCTTTCCCCTCCTGATATTCTCTGAAGTCAGCTCCCTGGGTGCAGGCACCCTCACTCTGTGGTCCCTGGCACAGAGGCCTCCTTTCTAGTCCTATGACATGCCATGCTACTGGTTCTCCCACAAGGGATTTTATCCTACCTGTTCCCTCTCCCTGGGACTCTTCCCCATCACCGATAGTCCCAGCTCTTTGCATGCCTGACTTTTTTTTTATTTAATTGTGATTTGGGTGAAAGTTTACAGAGCAAATTCACTTTCCAAATAGCAGCTCACATACATTTTGCCTCATGATATTGACTGCAATTTCCCACAATGCAACAGCTCCCTCCCCACTTCTTCCTCATAGTTACCTCTTCCCTGTGTCTTTCCCTCCCATGCACTCCTGCTCCCCGAGCTGTCTCCCTGCATACACAGCCCTTCTGTGCTCCCATGATTGATCTCTCCAAGCAGTTTTTCTACCTAATGTAAATGTTCAGCTCATTTTTTATCATTCTTGAGGTCTCAGCTCAAATGCTACCTCCTCAGACTTTCCTTGAACATTCTGTCTCCAGCAAGTAAACACTGCACCCTCCAACAGACTCAGAGGTGACTGTTAGCACCTATCATTTAGACAACATCTTTCTTTTTAGTTCACATTCACCGAAGTCCTGGAAGGTACACCAGTAGGAAATGGTAACCCCAACCCCACCCTAACCCTCCTCCTTCAGGTCAGATCACACCAACCTGCTTGGCAGCTGTCCCCTTCCACTAGCTTATGTCCATGAGTCGGGTTTGGTCATGTTCACCACCGTATTCCCAGTGTCTGATATGGTGCCTGGCCCCTAACAGGTGCTATTTGCTAACTATTTGGTGAACGAACATTGGGATGGTAACACTAGAAAGAAGCTTACCAAAACCACTGCCTGTTGAACTGATTCTGACTCTTGGTGACCCCACACGTGTCAGGGTAGAGCTGGGCTCCACGGGGTTTTCAGTGGCTGAGTGTTTGGAAGTAGATTGCCAGACCTTTCTTCTGAGGCACCGCTGGGTGGAGTCCGACCTCCAGCCTTTTGGTTCACAGCTGAGCACAATAACCTTTTGTTCCGACCACCCAGGGACTCCAGAAAGCAGTTTTGGGATCTTGTAACCCTGCCCCGTGTTACACAGATGAAAACACTAGGACCCCTGATGTAGAGTGTCCTGTTCAAAGTCATGCTGCAAATAAGCAGAAGAGCTGGCACAGAAGAGCCAGTCCCAGAGGAGCACTTTTTGTCTGCATCAGTTTAACTGACCTGTTGTTGCTGAGTGCGGTGGAGTCGGTTTTGACTCACAGTGACTCCATGTGACAGAGTAGATCTGCCCCGTAGGGTTTCCTAGGTTGTACTCTTTACAGAAGCAGATGCCCAGGGCTTTCTCCTGTGGAGCTGCTGGATGAGTTTGAACCATCAACCTTTTCGTTAGCAGCTGAGCACTTAACTGTTGGGCCTTAAGCATGACCTACCACTACCAGATTGCAGAGAAGAGCACTTTTTTTTTTTTTTTTTTAGGAAACCCAGCCCACTAAACTTTAGTCTGTCACTCTTCCTTCATTAAGTTCCCTTCTCCCCTACAGACCACCAGAAAGCCCCAGACCAAACCACTGCCATCAAGTCAATTCTGACTCATAGCCATCCTACAGGACAGAGTAGAATGATGCCCCATGAGGTTTCCAAGGCTGTCATCTTTATGAAAGCAGACTGCCACATCTTTCTGCCCCAGAGCAGCCAGTGGGTCCAAACTGCTGACCTTTTCATTAGCAGCCAAGTGCTTTAACCACTGCAACTACCTACCAACCACAAAAACCAAACTTGAGTTGAACCCGACTCATAGCAACTCCTCCTTGGGTTTTCAAGGTGGTATCTCTATGGAAGTAGATTGCCCAATCTTCCTTCCGAGGAGTGGCTGGTGGGTCTGAACCACCAGCCTTCTGGTTAGCAGTCAAATGCCTTAGGCACTATGCCACCAGATCTGACCTGCCTCTAACTTGCTGGTTCTGACAGAATCTTCACTTGGCTTGGCTTGTATAGGTAAAATGCCACAGTGTGGACTTGGCATCTCCTTGCCACAGAACCCAAGAGAGTGTGGCTTTTGTCCCTAGTCTTGGACCCTCGACACAGCTGTGCCCAGGGGTTGTGTCACAGGCTCAAAAGAGTAATTGCCTGGAAATGAGACTGGCTCAAAATATCTTCATTGTGACAATAAAATTCTGTTAGCACAGAATCTGGCATGGAAAGGTCCGTCCTGTTAGGTCAGCTAATTGCAAATGAGTCAGTGACTCGTTTTCCCCCACAGTGAAGAGACCATTGAGGGAGAGATGGCTGAGTTCTCACCGGCCACGGCCTGGGGATGGGCGCCACCAGCGAAGCTTCTGTGTAGTCTGGTGAGGGTGGCTGAGGCTGGCCCGTGGCACCAGCCTCACTCTTCACACATCCGGTTTCACGCAGGGTCCTTTGACATGCTGGGCACAAATCTTGGGGTCCAGAGATCGCCACCCAGAATAAAGATGCTTTTTGTTGAGGGCCCATAATTGGCAGTTACCACTCTCTGGGTCAAATCACAAGCTATTGCTACCAATGTTTAGTTGGAGATAAGTCACCAGTTCCCACCCCAAGAGAGAGGTGCATGCGATGTGTGTGTGTGTGTGTGTGTGTATGTGTAGGGTCAAAGGTTTTTTCGTGTGACTGGCTTACATCCATCTCAGCTGTGATTGACTCTGGGCCTCTTTGGAACCATATTAGGAAGTGCTATTTAAAGAAATGACTCCCCACACCAAGGACTGACTTTCCTACACTCAGAAAGGAAGAATGAGCCCTTTATCCCTGACCCTTGCCAAGTGGGCTGTTACTTGAGCAAGGGGTGAAAGGTGGCCCAGTCAGGGGCACAAACTGTTTTCCTATGAAAGGCGGCTCTCACTGCACCCGAGGTACTGCTACTGGGCTTGCTCAGGCAGGCTTCCTCTTAGTCTCTTCCAGAACAGGAAGTAGCTGTCTCCAAAAAAATCTTTGTTGGAGAATCCACTCTACTGAGGTTTTAGAGTCAGGATTAATTCAGGTAATACACGTGAAACACTTAGAACTATTTGTATTACAAAACATGCTGTGATTAATGTTCGTCTCCTTCTTGGATTACAGGATCACGGTCCACTAATATGGGAAGAGCCTGGGTGAGTGACGTTTGGTTCTACCCTCTCGTTTTGCACATGAAGGAACTCAGGTCAAGAGGGAGGAGATGACCACCTGGAGGTCTCACATTGACTTAGTACCAGAGGAAAGACTACAGAACAGGCTTCCCGACTCCCAGGCGAGGCTAGTTCCGTTAACATCAGTCTTCTTATTTAACCCATTCATTCATCCATTTCACTGGCACGTTTTTTTACTGAGTCCCCATGGAGGGCCAAGCCCTGCAGTTGGTGCTGAGAATCAAGGTAAGAAACAAAGGCGCAGATTCCTGCCTTCACAGAACTGCAACGTGGTGTTACAAAGGATCGCTAAGCTGTATAACAAGCAGTGTGAACTGTGAGCCAGGCCCTGTTCTAACCTGTATTAACTCACAACAACCCTATGAGATAAGTACTATAATTATCTGCACTTTTCAGATGAGGAAATTGAGGCACAAAACTAATCAGAAGCAGAGCTGGGATTTGAACCTGAGAAGTCTGGCTCCACAGTCAGAAGTCTTATGCTATTCTGGTCGGTTGATTTTTATTCCTTTTGGCCCAGGGTGGTGTCCCAAAGTGGAGCATCCTGAGGAACTCTATAGCTGTCACTGGGTCTCTGAGCTGGAGGATCCCCTGGCTCCAGGCTGGTTTGGGTCTGGCTGCTAGAGAGTCTGTGGGCTCGATGTGCTGGGCTGGCAGGGCTGGCCTTTGGCCATACAGTTGAAAGTGAAAGAATAGCCTGTCTTCTTCGCATTCGCCCTAACTGTATTTGTGTGGCTTCTGGTTGGTCGGATGGTGTTTGAGCTCGAGGGCCCCAGCTCCCATTCATGGCTGCTGACCGAGCAGAGGTTCCAGGACCGGACGTTGAATGTGCCTCAGAAGCGTTCCGCAGCCATGTGTCTGGTCTGGTTTGTTTTCTCCTTCTGGTCGGGCGTGGGCATGGGGAACCTGGGAGGGGGCAGCTGGCACCACCCCTTCTTCGCTTACTTTGATGGGAACAAGTGCAGCATAGTTGCCAGAAGAGTGTTTTTCTGAAATAATTCAAACCTTGCACTGCTAGACTTCATCCATCCACACGAATTTCACATTCATTTCATGAATTCAGAAATCATGACAATTCTGGGTGGGGTGGCCAGGCAGTTTACCTTCACATTACCCAACAAGAAAGCACGTGTTGTGCAAGTAAGCCTTATAAACGAGAGCACACACATAGTGCTGTTTCCAAAAACAAGTGACGTGAAGTTACTCTGGGCACTTCCATGCTGGGATGTGTGCAGTGACTGCAGTGCGCAGATGTAGTGTGTCCGTTCTTTAAGGCAAGCTGGGCAGGTGCGTATTTGCAGAAGGTAGTTTCAGTGCTCTCATGCTGATGACCAATTGCATTTCTTTATCCATATTCTATCATTGAGATTTTTCTTCAACTCAGACTTGACCCTTTCCCCAGTGATTCTGATAGAGTCAAGTAGGATATTCAGTGCCCAGGTGTGGAACAGCATGCCTTCTGCTCTGGAAAGCTGAAACTAATTAGCCCTGCAATGGATTTCCCCTGATATGCTCAACCTTAAACCAAACTGCCAATGAAGGAAAGAGACGTGTTATCTCAGGTGGTGATCTTTAGTAATTTGAAATGCACAGAGCATAGTAGCAGTGCCAGGGATGTGGGGCTTAGAGTTGGAGAATTTGCTTTCAGTCTGCTTTGCCAGTTAGTGGATTTATTATCTGGGGCAAATTACCCTCTGAAGCTAGATCCTCATCTTTAAAAACTGGAGAAAATGCCTTCTTCACAAGGTTGTCATGAGAATTCAATGAGTCCATGTATTTGAAAGTGCCTAGAGCAGTGCCTAAGGCATTTGACTGCTAACCAGAAGGCTGGCAGTTCAAATCCACTAGCCGCACTACAAAAGGAAGATGGGGCAATCTATGTCTGTAAAGATTTACTGCCTCAGAAACCCAACGGGGGTCGCTGGGAGTTGGAATGCACTCGATGACAGTGGGTTTGAGAGCAGTGCTTGATGCTTACATGTTAGTGAAAAATAAGACAAAGTATTCTTTGTCTTTAGGCCTTACTTTTCCCAGACTAGGTACATTTTGAGCACTGACCTCACCATCTCTTTGAGTCAAGATGTAGTATAATTAAAATCTCTCTACCCTACCTTGCAAATGGAGACTAAGGCATAAACCATGAAGTACACAGTGTGTGTGTGTTAGGGAGAAACATCAAAGGACCACACCTAAGAGCCTGTGGGCGAGGCAGTGAAGGGGCCGCATCTAGATTCAAGGGGCTCCCCTGTGGGCTCTCATTTAGACCAACCATGACAAGACTGTGTTCCAGCTGGGAATGGATGTGGCTTCCAGAGCAGGTGCTGTGGGCCTATCCTTGATTTCCAGGGCCTGCGCAGGGATTGAGGGGACCTTGGCCTCTTTTCATGGCAGTGACTTAAAAAATACCACCCCAGAAAACCAGCTCCTGTGAATTCCTGAGTAAGGGAAGGCAGGGAAGATGGTGCCAGCAGGTGTGGCTCTGGTGCTCCATCTCTGTGTGATCTCACTGGGATATCAGAAAGCCAGCATGCTGTCTGTCTCTGCTCTGCTCTGTTCCAGAAGGCTGGAGCAGTGCCTGTCACATAGCGGCACCCAACAGTCATTCAGGGAATGGATGGATGAATGGATGGATGGATGGATGATGGGCTGCTTAGACTGTGTTGAGTATGTACTGGTTCAGGGCACCTGTTCTAAGTCAGTTAGTGGATCACAGAGAGGAGCACAGACTCTGCTCCCGAGAGAAGCACTACCTAAGGAGCTGGCATCTCCATGTGACGCAGTTGGAGGCCTCTAATGAATGCCCCAGGTGATGATTTAGTGGAATCAACTTCGTGGCTTGTCTGGGGAGTATACCAGGAGTATACCCCTTGGTAATGCAGATGGAAATCAAAACAGAGCCTGTTTGCCCCCAGAGCCCATGTGTTGTGGGTATGTTTTCCTCAGTGTCCTCCCTCCAAAGCACTGAGAAGCTGATGTAATTGCAGCCTCCACCCTAGGTTAAGTCCCGCCATCTCTCAACTAGACACTTGCAAGTGCTTTATAGCAGAGCTCCCTGCTGCTCCCTGTCCCCCTTTCTAGTTCATCCTATGGTTGCCATTAAGAACATGCATGCAGTCTTAAGCATAGCTCTGAGCTGGCCACCCCCTGACTCAAAAACTTCCCATGCTGCTCCATGCCTGCAGAATGGCATGAGTGTTCCTGGCACAGCACAGTGTTATTTATGCAGACCCTCCTCCCATTTACTCTTTTAATAAACACATATGCCTGTATATGAGAGGGAAGGCTGGCAGTTCAAACCCACCAGCCACTCCTCAGAAGGAAGATTGGGCAATTGACTTTCATACTGGTACTGCCTCAAAAACCCAAGGAGGGGTCACTATGAGTCAGATCCGACTTGACGGCAGTGAGTTTGGTTTATACATGAGAGGAGGCGGAGGGTGGTGCTTAAGAGCCTGGACAGAGGGTCACACTGCCTGGGTTCAAATCCTTGGGCAAGTTATGTCCCTTCCCTGAGCCTCATTTCCTCTTCTGCAAGGGTTACTGGGAGGATGTGTAAAGTGCTTAGCACAGAGCTGGCACGTGGCAAATGCTCATTAAAAGTTAGTGCTTCTTTCTGATAGGTGCCATGTCCCGTAGCTTGGCGATGCTAGACTTAATCTTTGCCTTCAGGGATCTTGTAGTCTCTGGCAGGAGTCAGGCCCAAAAAGACAGTGATGTGGGCAGGTTGTGAGAAGTACTGATAGAGGAGAGCCCAAGAGGCTGTGTGGGGACTGAGGAGTCACACCTGATAAGGTCCTTGAGGAAGGAATGAGGTGGCATTGGAAAATGCCCCAAAGAAGGGAAAATGGTTGTCCTGCATAACAAGCAGAAGAGGTTGGGGGAGAGAATCCCAGCATGAAGGGACAGCAGAGATGGTGGAATTTGGTACCTGCAGAGGAACTGCACATGGGTTGGCATGACTGAGGCAAAAATGGCGGCCAAGGGGACAGGCCAGAAACTCAGGCAGAAGTGATGAAGATTCTTGAGAGAGATGTTAAGGAATTGAACTTGACCCTGAAAGCATTGGGGAGCCAATAAGAGAGAGTAGCATGGCCAGAAGTCCTTTTCCCCAAAAAGATTCCTCCAGCTACAGTGTAGCGGGTATATCAGGGGGCAAGTTTAGAGACATGGAGACCAACTGGAAGGTTTATGTCCTTGTTTAGGTTTGAAAGAATAAAGGCCTGAACTGAGGCGAGCACAGTGGAGGCTCAGAGGCATGGAGAGGATATAGAATAGAGTGGCAGTGGCAACCAGTTGTATTTGAGGGCTCATACACAGGAAAGAGCCCAAGCCAAGGAGAATGGCCAACAGTGGTGTGACATGCAGCCGCAGTTACCACTGACTGCAGGCCACAGAGTGACCATTTGGTTTGTTAGACAGCGAGGAGACAAAGGAGATGTGTAACCTGAGTGTGATCTGATAAAAGGTCCATTTCAGGAGGATTCTTGGGGTAAGGTTATGTGTGTGGGGTGGAATGATGAGGAATAGACATGGAGCGCTTAGAGGCCAGTCAGAGTGATGCTGAGATAATCATCCTGACAGGACTTGATGAGGGTCTGCACCAGGAGGATGGTGGTGGGAAGGGAGACGAGATCTGAGGGTGCTGCCCAAACAAAGGACAGTAGGCATCATGATGGACTGACTCCTGGGATTAGAGCAGTGAAAGAGAGAAGGGAACAAAAAGAGAACTGCCTAGCACCCAGGTGTGTGAGAAGGTAGAGCCTGCACACTGGGTGAGCACCCACGACGGGCCAGCCCCTGCAGGGTAGAAGTGCTACTGAAATATCATCCCTTCCTTAGTGGCACACAGGCTGCATCCACCATACACAGAAGGTGCTTATGAATGGTGTGAGTTGATTGGACTTGGCATCAGGCACACCGAGGCCTGAGCAAGCACACAGGCCCCAACTCACCTGTGCAGAGCTCCTGTGGTAAGGGGAGTAGTGGAGCGGCCCCGAGATGGCAGTGTCGTGAGGCAGGGCTGGATACTGGCCCTGCATTGGATGAGGATGCTGGTTGCCATAGCTCCCATAGTTATAGCTTCCTGTGTATCTGCAATGCATGAAGCACACTGAATGTTGTGAGTGGCAGCAGGGAGAACAAATTAAAGAAATTAAAGTTTGTACCTTTAACAACCAACCTCATCTTTTCTTTTTCTTTTTTTTTTTTTCCTTTTTCCTTATTAAGCTCTGTCTACTTTTGGTGTTTACCATCTCCTCTCTGTGGCTCTGTTGTGGTAAGTCTTCAATCCCAGGTTGGTTTTCCTTCTCCCCTCAGTACCTCCCTCGCCACCCAGCAAGCACTCAGGGAATGAGCGCTGGCTCTAAGCAAAACACAGCTAATGATGGAAACCTCTAGTCCCCTTGCGTTAAAGCCTCTTATTGTATCCTGAAGCCAAGTAAGAGACAAAGAAGATGTTACTTTGGGATTTATGTTTTCGTATTACTCAGGCCTCTGCTTCTCCATTATGGGAAGGATGTCGTGGGTTTCTGTAAACCTCTCTCCTAGGGGGATGCGCCATGGTGAGTGTGCTCCATCAAGCTCAGCCTGGCTTCACCCCTTACTAGCTCTGTGACCTTGTGCTTCTCACATCTGCAAAAATACTGCATGTGGTCCCTAACAACACAACAAACATGTAAATATAGGACTTTATTACCAGTGTCCTTGATAACAAGTTTACATCTGAGCTCACCTGGTATCTAATCTGCCATTTCTGTAGAACCTAAAAGCTCTCTGAAAGTTTTTCAGAATCCATTCTAAAAATGTGGGAAAATACTCTGAAAATGCCCCCTATAGAGACAGCGGCTACCCTAGTGACTTCTCAGGGGCAGCTGAACCTGTGATAGTAACTCGCAGCATGTCCATAGCCAGGCCTGTGCCCTCCTTCAGGGTCTGTGGTGGCCTCATTGTGCTGGGCTGCCCATGGGGAAGGGCCCCCGCGAGGTCCTCCTGCCATCCTCCTGGGACCGGGCAGCTGGCCCTTTGGAAGCTGGCTTGTGAGTGGCTACAGAAGAGGCTCACCGTGCCCTCATGGCAGAGCCACACTCATGAGAACAGGGGCCCTTTGAAACAGCACAAGTGTTTTCTAGACCACTACACATCAGACGTCATAACTTCAGTCTTTTGATAATGAAAATACATAGAGTGAAAAGCTGTGTGAGTCACACAGCACTTTTGAATGGATTTCTGGCTTATTCATCACACAAACATCACTACATACATTTTAAAATACATACATACATATATATATATATATATATATATATATATATATATAGGCAAAAACAAATGTCTTGTTTATTCAGGGTGCAGAGCATCACTGGAGCCCACAAGGATTCCCTGAACCCCGTTAATAGCTGCAGCCCTGAACCCCGTTAATAGCTGCAGCCTTCCAGGAACCTCCAGCCCTCAGGTTGGGAACCCTTACTCCAGACAGAGTCATGAAAGACTCAGACTTCCCATAAGGCCTCATAGGCTACAAAGTGTACCGAGAGCCACCAGGGGATCTGCTGAGAGGAAGCTTTGCACTGAGGTTCTAAGGGACTAAGGAGCAAAGAACACTGGCTTCAGAATCACATGTTCAGTTTAGTCTGGGCCCCTTCATTGACCAGCTGTGTGACCTCCAGCGACTGAAGTCAATCACCCTAGTCTCAATTTCCTAATCTGTAAGATGGGTTGCTAACAACGACCTCACATGGCTGTTGTGGGGATTACATGAGGTAGTGACACATGGTACAGTGCGGAGCACATAGTAGATGGACTTTGATCAATAGTAGCCCTCTTCCTGTCCTTGGAGAAAACCCATGCTGAGCAAATCAGATTTAAGAGTAGGGCAACATCCCCAGTTACCTACCCATGCTCCTCTCTGTGGGGATACACTGGTATCCTGTGTGTGACGGAGGAAGAAGGCACATGAGTACTCCTCATACAGGGCAGCTGTTGGGAGTTCTCGGCTGGGGACCCAGCAGCCGTTGTCACTGTGTATGTTAGGGACCACGTGTATGACTGCATTGCTCCTGCAGAGACATGTGGAAAGGCATCAGTCACTAGCACAGTTCTTAGACCCCCAGTTCTCCCTTGGGACCCTTTAGTGGCTTCCCACTGTTAAGCTAAAGGCCAAAATCTTTACAAGACCCGTGTCTCCGGCCCCACTGACTTACCAGAGCCATCATCCCCACTCCCTCCTTTTGGTCTGTCTGAGCCAGCCATAATATCCTTCTTTCATTTTCTGCAAGGTATCATGTATCATGATTCTCAGCACCACAGGGCCTTAGCACATGCTGCTTCTGCTGCCCAGAACCCTCACTCGTCCCTCAAAACTCAGTGGTTCCTCTTATCTCAATCCAGAAAAGCTGTACCCTAACAACAGACTAAATCATATCTCTCGCTGAACTGTAGGCTTCATGGCTCCTACTGCAATTTGTAATCTTACACCTGTTAGTGAATTTGATCAATACCTATCCCCCTACCAGACTACAAGCTCCAGGAAGGTAGGGGCCTTGTGTATATTGCCAACCATTGGATCCCCAGTGTTTAGCACAGAGCATGGCAGTGAAAAGGCTCTCAATAAATATTTTTAGAAGGAAGAAGGGGAAAAGGAAAGAGGAAGAGAGGGAGGGAGGACAAAGAAAGGTTGGGCCAGTGTACCTAGACAAGGCACAGGAAAATAACTTCCCAACACTCAACAGGTGTTAAAGATCCAACAAATTGCTTTAAGCAACTCAAGTAGATTATTGGGCTCTGCTTGTCCAAGTCTTTTTGAAGATTATTAGTTAGTGACCTGGGTGGTGACCTATTCCATACATTTTATTAATTCCACTTATTTCCTGTTTAATTGGATACCTTGAAAATGCTAGGGGCTGGGAAGCAACCCAGCAAAATCAGAAGCCCTCAGGATGTGTAGAATTCTATGAGATAACTATCACATAAAAAAGACAGTAATTTCAGAAATCACTAATAGCAATAATAAGCTCATCAGACAACTTCCTTTCTGATACATTTTAAAATGTGCTAATGTAGTGGAAATAATGAAACCTACGTTAAACCTATTTCACAAGGTAGAGGAAACAGGATTCAACACTCCTTTTTAGGCACATAGAACACTGGAAGAGTTGGTTAAGGGAAGCCAATTACAGGGTGAAGTAAAAGAGAGAACTTGGTCCTCCAATTCTGTATTTTCTGCAGCAGACCATCACCATCTTGAAATTCCACTAGAAAAATGCAGGAATCGTTTTCATTTTGAAAATTCAGTCCCATCTCATCCGAAGGACTTTGCAAATAGCACATGAGAATGGTTGCATTGACATTGAACAGTTGCCTTGACATTGAGTAGCAGGGGGAAGCAAAAAGTTGACAGATCAGCCCCGTGCCAATGCCATGACACTAAGTATCCTCAGGAGTATTGTTAAAGTTATGTGGAAATGAAATTCTATTTTAAACATAGTGCTTTATTATTAAGAGAATGATGTGGTAAACTATTTGTAAGTTGCAGAATCTATTAGAATGCAAATAATGTCCCTTTTTTTTTTTAATGAAATCATGAAGATTCATTCCAGTAACATGAAAACCAAAAAAACCAAACTCACTGCATCAAGTCAGTTCTGACTCATAGCGACCCCCTTTGGGTTTCTGAGGTGGTAAATCTTTATGGAAGTAGAGTGACCAGTCTTCCTTCCATGGAGTGGCTGGTGGATTTGAACCACCAACTTTCTGATTAGCAGTCAAATATTTTAGGCACTACGCCACCAGAGCTCCTTAAGAACGTGAAAGAAGGACCATTTAGAACATCTATTCTAGGCCAGGCATGTTCTAATGTTTTATAGATGCCCTTAAGAGAAATACTATCCTTACTTTATACACGATGAAATGAGGGTTAGGTCTGAAAAAAATTAAGGGCTCTTACAGGAATACAGAAGGAACTCTGGTGGCTCAGTGGTTAAAGCACTCAGCTGCTAACCAAAGGCTTGGCAGTTTGAACCCACCAGTTGCTTCTTGGGAGAAAGATGAGGCAGTCTGCTTCCACAAAGGTTACAGCCTTGGGAACCCTGTGGGGCAATTCTTCTCAGTCTTATAGGGTTACTATGACTCAGAATTGACTCAATGGCAATGGGTTTGTCTTTTTTAAAAATAGGGCTACAGAAGATTCAAGAAATGAGACTGACAAATAAGCAAAGCACTACTGAAGAAGAACAACAAAGTAGGGGGTCTGAACACTCCTGGATCTCAAACCTATTATACAGCCACAGTAGTCAAAACAGCCTGGTACTGGTACAGTGACAGACACATAGACCAGTGGAACAGAATTGAGAACCCAGAAATCGATCCATCAACCTATGGTCAGCTGATTTTTGACAAAGGGCGGAAATCCGTTAAATGGACAAGAGGTGGTCTCTGTAACAAATAGTGATGACAAAACTGGATATCCATTTGCAGAAAAATGAAACAAGATCTGTACCTCACGCCATACACAAAAACTAACTCCAGAGGGATCACACTTAAATGTGAAACCTAAAACTATACAGTTCCTCTAGGGGAAAATTTAGGGGCCCTAATTTATGGCAAAGGAGCTCTGGTAGCATAGTGCCTAAGGCACTTGACTGCTAACCAGAAGAATGGTGGTTCAAACCCACCAGCCACTCCTTGGAAGGAAGGTTGGGCATTCTACTTCCATAGTGATACTGCCTCGGAAACCCAAGGAGGGGTTGCTATGAGTCGCATCTGACTCGATGGCACATAACAACAACAACAATTTATGGCATAAATAGGTTGTCCAGCATAACCCAAAATGCAGAAACAGCTGAAGATAAACTAGATGAAAGGGACCTTCTAAAACTTTTTATGTGTTTCCAAAGACTTCTCCAAAAAAGTAAAAAGAGAACCTACAGATTGGGGAAAAAAATAGTCAGCAATGACATATCTGACAAGGGGCTTATCTCTAAAGTTTATAGAAAACTCAACACCTCAACAACAAAAAGACAAACAATCCAATTAAAAATGGGCAGAAGACATGAATAGATACTTCACTAAAAGGATATTTAGGCGGCCAATAAACACATGAAGAAATGTTCATGATCATTAGCCATTAGAGAGATGCAAATAAAAACAATAATGAGGTATCATCTGGCCCCAGCAATAATAGCAAAGTTCAACAAGGCAGAAAATAACAAACGGTGGCAAGTATGTGGAAAGACTAGGACTCTCATACAGTGCTGGTTGTTGTTGTTGTTGTTACTTGCCATCAAGTTGGATGCAACTCATAGGCACCCCTCCCAAGGCAGTGTCACTGTGGAAGTAGATTGCCCAACCTTCCTTCCGAGGAATGGCTGGTGGCTTTGAACCACCAGGCTTCTGGTTAGCAGTCAAGTGCCTTAGGCACTACGCTACCAGAGCTCCTACACTGCTGGTGGCACTGTCAAATGATACAACATCTGTGGAAGGCAGGATGGTGATTCCTTAAAAAGCTGGAATTAGAAATACCATTTGACCCAGCAATCCCATTATTAGGTATATATCCAAATAAGTGAGAGCCAGGAGAAGAACAGATATATGCACACCATGTTCATCGCAGCACTATTTACAATAGTAAATGGAATAGTAGATGGAAACAACCTAGGTGCCCATCAACAGACGAATGGATAACCAAACTATGGTACATACACACAATGGAATACTATGCAACATTAAAGAATCATGTAGAATCTGCAAAATACCACATAACGTGGATGAACTTGGAGGACATTACACTGAGTGAAATAAGGCAATCACAAAAGGACAAATACAGTATTAGTTCATTGTTATAAAAAGTCAAAGAAAGGTTTATGTATGGAAGGAAACTTTCTTTGTTGGTTACCAGGAGTGGGAGGGAAGGGGAAGGAATACTGCAAAAAATAAAATAAATAAACAAAACATTGACCCATGTCACATTAGTTTTGTGTATTTTACTGTACATAAATTATATTTCGATAAAATGTATTTTTTTTTAAAGTGGGAGTGGAAGAAGAACAAAGAAACTGGAGGCAAAAAGTGGAATCAGGAATGAGGTAAAAGCCTGCAAACCCTAAAGTCCTTAGGAGCTCTGGTGGGTAGTGGTTAAAGCGAGCATTCAGGTGCTAACCAAAAGATTGGCAGTTCGAACCCACCAGTTTCTCCATGGGAGAAAGATGAGGCAGTCTGTTTTTGTAAAGATTCACAGCCTCGAAACCCTGTGGGACAGTTCTACTCTGTCCTATAGAGTTGTTATGAGTTAGAATCAACTGAATGGCAGTGATTTTTTGGGTACTGTCTTTGGATTTAAGATCAGTTAGGAATTGCTTTCAGGTGCCCTCATGAGGCAGAAACTGAACTATATGAGAGTGTCTTTACTATATGGCAATGGACTCTGTCTTGATCTTAGATTGATCCTTATATCAACCCATTGTGTAGTCCAGTGGCATTGGAAAAAAGTCCAGTCCAGGGAAATGTTAAATAACTTCCCCAAGTCCCACAGTGAGTGAATGGCTGGCCCACTGGGGCTCTGAACCCTGCTCTGCCACATATTTTCCTCTCTCCCTACATGAAGTCTCTGCTCTGGGTCCTGATTCTGCCACCTGCTGCCTGTAAGATCGGAGGCAGCCCTCTTCAATTTGCTGAGCTTTGTTTCATCATCTGTTAAACAGCCATAATGACCATTTTGTAAGACCATCGTGAGGACTAAGTGAGACAATAAACATCAAGGCTCTGGCTTTGGTAGGCTCTTCATTATATTCACGTCTTTTCCATTATGAATTCAGGTATTCTTGTACCAGGGCTTTCTTGAAGTAGAAATGTCTGTATTTTCTATTTCAGGTCCCAAGGAAGAAGGACAATGTTCTTGGGTCAGATTCTGTCCCCAGAGATGAGACATGTGAACAGCAATGGTCATCTTGCCAATCAGTACCCTGCTAGACCCTTTCTTTCTAAACTCACTGGTACCCTAATTCACCAGTCTGGCTGAAACTGCTTTGCATGTCTTTATAGAATTAGTACCCCCAGTTTCTAG